CAAGATGTGCTGGGCTGTCTGGCGCAGCGTGCTCTGCATGCTCTGGACTCCCCAGCAGGCAAGCGACAGTTCCCTGCAGTAACTGATAGGTGGGCAGGGCTTTGGGGCTGCGGACCATGTTAACTTCTTTCCCAGTGGCTCAGGTGCCTGCTTTCCTCATATGGGCTCTATCTTGTCATCCTGTGCTCAGTGCCTCCATCTAGGGTGTTATCCACACCTAGTGATTTCTTTGTGCTTCATTCCCTGTTTTTTTAAAATGGGGATAATCATACTACCTACTTCCCAGTGACTGAGAAGAGTGCGTAAGCCACCTAGGGAAAGTTCTTAGCGTTTGGTCTAATCGGAGTTCAATACCTCAGTGACTGCTATTACTGTTCGCGTTATTGCCAGTGGGGAGAAAACTGCCAATATGGAGGGCACCTTCTAGGTGCCAGGTGCTGTGCTGGCTTCCTTCTAACTTAGTCCTCATGCTGATCTCACGCCCATCTCCAGCTCTCTCAGACCGTGCTGAGCCCTCTCTCTTTCTGCACAAATCTCTCTTCTCTTGACTTTCCCTTCTGGGCTGCAAGTCTGCAGCTCTGTTCCAGGCCTCTTCTTTTCTTTCCCTACTCTCTCTGGTGGATGCATCTCCCCCTATGGATTTAATAATATCTAGGCTGGATTTCCAGCCTCCACTTCTGCTCTGAGGTTTAGGTCCCTATATCCGTATTCACTTGGACGTTCCCCAGGTACCCCTAACTCAGCAGACTCACGCCAAAGTCTATTAGCTCCCCGTAACCTCACCTCCCCGAGCTCCCACAGTCAGTCCCCTCTGCTCTGCTCTTTATCTTGATTAATGGCACCACCACCCACCTAGCTACCTAAGCCAGGACACCCATCTTGATTACCACCCAATCTAATAAATTGCCAAGGCCTGCTGCTTTGATTGATTTCATACTTTTCAAATTGGCCTCTTCCTTCCAACTTCCACAGTCCCTGCGCTGGTCCAAGTCCTCAGCAACTCTCCCCTCAGCAGCTGCAGCCTTTTTCTTGTCTCCTGACTTTTGGCACTGTCCCTTGGGCCCCACCCCCATTCACTGTCTCCCCCATTCACGGCAGGAGTGAGATTTCTGAGACCAGGTTAGCATCATGCCACTCTGCTGCTGGCTGCCAACGGTCTGAAGAATTACAATGAAACTTCTGAATTTGTCATTCAACACCTATGCCATCTGTCCCTAAGTTATTTACCCATCCTCACCCTTCTACCATCTTCTACCATCAAATAGGACTTTTTGGGTTTTGTACTTCGTAACAGCCTGGTAACTCCTGCACAGGGCTTGGAGCCACCTTCTGAGTGACTCCACGGAGGCAACATACCAAATATATTTGCTGTGTAATGAACTCAGGGCTTTGGAAACATAAAGGACTAAGGGTGCCCCCCTGTGCACTCCCCAGCATGCCAGCTGTGTGTCTGCTGAGCAGAGCACTCCAGATCTGTAAACCCAGCCTCCACAAGGAACCTCTTACTGAGGTTATCACCGGCCACGCCGGTTCAGGAAGGCGTGGGGCACTCTGCTGGGGCGTGTGTATGTGTGTGTGTGTGTGTGTGTGTGTGTGTGTGTGTGTGTGTGATTTAAGGACTTCATTAAGGGACAAGCAGCTAGCTCTGGGCACCTGAGGTAGGCCTTTGACCTGCTCTCCCTCCCTGCCCCCATCAGATGGGAAGAGGAATGCTTCTGGCCTCAGCAAGGTTTCCGGTGGCCTATTGGGCAGGTAGGGATTTATGGCTGGAGACTGACTTGCTGATGTGGGCATCAGTTTTCTGCTGTCTGTGGACCAGGCACCCCACTTGGTCCCCTCTACCTTTTTAAACCAAGAGGAAATGATTTACGGGTGTCAAGTGCCTTCAATGAGCCTAGCTCCATGACAGTAGCACCCACCAGTCACCAGAACCCAGACTGTTGTCATAGAAGGTATTAGCCCATGTCACCCACTTCAGAAGTTAGAACAAACTAGGGTGAGGGTCTTTGAGTGCCAGAAAACTTCTCTGCAAGTTTATCTAGAAGATACACCCATGAAAGTCATACATATTAATGGATCAAGGGAACCTATGCTGGGTAGAAAGGAGGACCCTGGAGAAAAATACCCCAAATGTGTTTTCATGTCTCGGCTGCCAGCTGTAGTTGCTGACTCAGCTTTCCCCCTGGACTCCTACTACACAAATATCTCTAAGAGAGTGTAAACCAAGTTCAACTGATGCTTGTATGAGCTGCTGAGAGATCTCGGAGAGGGAGGAGTGAACTTGGTCTGGGTTGGGGCAGCAGGTAGGAGAAGGAAGGGATATTTACATTGGGTTTCAGAGTGTGAATAGGAGTTTTCCGGGAAGTTAAGAAGGAAAAGCATTTACTGTAAAGACAATAACATGTACAAAATCATGTTTAAAAGCTAGTAGTATATAGGTTCGGTCTAGGACATAGGGAGGAGTGAGGGAGATGAAGTCTTATTCCAATGTATCCAATTGGAAGGTGATGGAAGATCGTCTCAGAGAGTGAAGAGCTAAAAATTATGGAGGCTGAGAAGCCTGGATACCCTCCTCACAGTGCAGAGGGGCCTGAAGGGTGGATTAACTTTTTCTGCAGCAGGTTCAAGTCTACGTCAAGGCTACTTGACGTAGACTTGAACCCTGCCCTATTCAGCCTTGGCTCGATGCCCTTTCATTTTCTGTCTTCTCTCTCCCTCACAGTGACTTCAAGCAGGACTCATCTGAGTGAGTGAACATCTCCAATGCAGAAACCCTTTGAGAAAAACAAAAAACAAAACCCCAAGCAACACAGAAACCTGGGGATTTCACTACTCAAAGCATGGAGGGGAGAGGCATGCCCGGGCAACAGCTCAGCTCTAGATGGGCTGGGTGGGACCTGAAGACTGACCAGAGATGTGTGGGCTCACCCTGAGGAGACCAGCCTCAGGGCTCTCCCTGTGCGATGCTCCTCCTTTTCAGGGGGGAAAGGAATTTCAGAGCAAATATTTGTCACGAAAGGCAATCTGGGCTGGCCTCAGAAATCACAGATAATTAAGAGATATGATTTATCACTGATGATATTTCCCAGGCACAGCCAGAGGGTGAGTAAGTGTTTTTCAGGCTGCTTGGGAAGGCTCTGCTCACACGTCAGAGGCCTCACTGTGTCGTTGCTGGGACACCAGCAGGGCCTGGGCAGAGGCCTGTGGGTCTTCCCAGTGACCGTCCCCTGTGCCTCCAGTCCTGCCCTGCCAGGGGGCAGGGTGGCCTGCTGGGGTGGAGAGGATGCTGACTGCGAAACAAGACAGACCCGAGGTGAATTCCAGCTCCAGAGAAAGCACCAGGCAACACACCTAGCTTCCCTGGGCCTTGGTTTCCTTATTTGTAGAAGTAGTGCAGCGGTTCTCGAATGGGGCAGTTTTATCCCCCAGGGAACACTTAACAATATCTGGAGACATTTGTAGTTGTCACAAAAGGTGGGTGGGCACTACTGCCCCCCGGTAGGGAGAGGCCAGGGACCTTGCTAAGCATCCTGCGATGCATAGGACAGCCCCAGCACCAAAGGATTATCTGGCCCCAGATGTCAATGGTGCTGAGGTTGAGAAAGCCTGAGTTGAAGCAATGTCACGGACCTCAGAGTTGCTGAGAAGATTAATAGGATCACATGTCTATACCGCCTGATGCTGAGCAGGCCCTGGTTAAACGGTAGTTTAAAAATGTGGTAGCTCAAGTCATTTCTCTTGAAAGGCCATGAGGCCACCAATCTGAGGTAGTTCTGAAGGAGAGCCGCCCTCTGGGAAGGGAGGGAGGCGAACCAGGATCTATTCTCTCTAAAAACCATTTCTTTCTTCTTCCCTTTTTCTCCCTCCCATCCTCCACTCCCTCCCTTCCTCAAACATTTACTGAGCTAGGGACTTGGGAAATAGTGGTGAACAGAACAAAAACCTCCCTGTCCTTATAAAACTTTCATTCTAGTGAATTTCCCACAAACGAATACATCTGGTTATATCAAATGGTTAAAATTTCCTATAGGGCCGGCCGAGGGGCGCCTTGGTTAAGAGTTGGCTTGGGATACCAGCTCTGAGCAGCAGGGCCCCGGTTCAGATCCCACATGAGGGCCAGTGACACTGCGCCCTCTACAGCTAAGATGGTGAACAACAGCTGGACCTGGAGCTGGGCTGCCGCGAGTTGCCGGCAACGGCGTAGGCTGCAGTGGGGCTGTCCAGCAGCTGGCATGAGCTTTCGTGAGCTGCCGTGAGCCACTGTGAGTGGCCGTCCAATGGCCGGCAAGCGACTGCCTCACCCGGGAAGAGCGCAATGATAATACCAACATGGGCCAGTGAAACGACGTCCTCGACAACTAGACTGAAGAACAAAAGGACAGCAACTTGTCTGTTCCCCTTCCCCGATTCCCCAATAAAATCTTAAAAAATAAAAGTTCCTATAAAGAAAAAAGAAAGCTTGGTAAGGGACATAGACTGGGGTGGGGGTGGGGGTTGGGGTGGAGGGGTGGGCTGTGTGTGTAATTGTAGGAGGTGAGGGCAGGTCTCCCTGATAAGGTGGCGTTTGAGCAGAAACCTGGAAAAAGAGAGGGTCAGAGTCCAGCAGAGTCAGCATCCTCCTCTGACCTGGACCTCTGCTCTCCTTGTCCCCAGGGCCCTGATGGCCTTTCTCGAATGACCTAGCTGACGTTGGCGGGGATGAGGGTCCCAGGCCAGCTCCTTAGGTGTGGGGCCAGGCAGGGAGGTCAGGAAGATCAGCTCTGCCTGTTGGCCCGCCCTGCTGCTGGCCCGGAGGGTGTTTGCAGAAGGAAGGGTGGGGGTTTTTTGTTGATTAGGGTCCGTGTGCTCAGGCCCCGGCTGGAAGGGAAACTGGCTGGGTGCCCAGGGGGCGAGCCGTTGGCTCTTGGTCTCCTCGAAGGGGGGATGGGGCCCTTTGTGCCCCACCCCAGGCCCTGGCAGCCAGCTCAGGGCTGCGTGCCACAGCAGAGGCGAGGCCGGCTTCCAGCTTCAGGAGGAGTGTGTCTGGAAGTGGGTCTTTGCCACGGTCGGTGCGGGAGTGAGAACATTCGGGGGAGAAAAAAGACACCACCTTTGACTACTCTCTTCACAGGTTCCCAGGTTGGTTTTTTTTTTTTCAACAGCGCAGTCATCTAATGCCTGGGAGAGATACTAAGGAAGAATTAACAGGGCTGGGTATTCAAGGAGAAGGTGAAGGGACTGGGAGAGAGAGGTGGGGGGCGGTCAAAGCTATCTCCATTTCAGTAACATTTGTTTCCGTTTATAAATCTTTGCTGAGTGTCTCCAGCATAGCCAGGACTGGACTAGACAATCCTGTGGTCTGTCTTGTTTGTAGTGGTGGCCTGAATGCCTAGCAGAGAACTCTATGTGCAGCAGGGGTGAGATTAACACGAGGGGTTTACTGGACTAGTTGGGGAGAAAAGACAAAATGACAGGTAGCCATCCTCTGTGGTCCTCTAGGTTGTGTAGTTAAGATTACAATTAGGGTAGGAGTTTGGAGAAGTGGGCTGGAGAGGAGGTCTGGGCAGGTGAAGAGGGCCTGGAGGCAGGTCCAGGAAGCCCTGAGGGTGGCCTGTCCTAGAGCCACTGCAGTGGTTAGTTAAGTAGGAGATTTAGGAAGGCGCTACATCTGAATGCAAAGGTAAGCAGACAATGGGAAGCCATTGAAGGTTTTGGAGTTGGAAGTGAATAAAGATAAAGGATTCTTCCTGGCATCCCACCTTTGCTCGTGACGTTCTCCTTGCTTAGGACACCTATCCATTCTCACTCTTCAAGCTGGAATCTTAAAGATCCACCCTCAGCAACTTCCTCTCCAGTTGCGTCTTTGCCACACTGCCCGTCAGTTGCACACAATATGCTTGAGTACTTCCAGTGACGGTGTGCTCTCTACCACCCACACTGCAGTACAGAGATTGCAAAATGGCTGCCTGCGGGCCATGTCTGTCTTTCAGACAGGCTTTGTTTAGACTGACAAGGGTTTACGCATTTCTCAAATGAGTCCCCAACACTGAAATACCAGATTTGACACCCAGACGTAGAACTTCTATCTGGCTTATCTTGACATGAGAAGACCTGGCCTTGCTGGTCATACATTCTTAAATGGCACGAAGGGGCTGAAGCTGAGAACCAGCCCCCTTTAGACGGAGCATGAGCGCTCAGCTTTCTCTAGCCCCCCACCACTTCCTATCACATCCACCATGTTTCCCTCATTTGTGTAACCTGCCTGGCACCTGCTGCCTTTGAGGCTTATGAAATAGAACAGGCATTGGGAATCAGTTAGCCATGGGTGCAAATTCTGACCGTTCTACTTACCAGCTGTGTGTCAGATACCTGATCTGAGCCTCAGTTTTTCATCTATAAAATGGGATCATAGCTCTCACCTCTTAGAGTTGTGAGGACCAAATACCATTATGTAGGTACTGTGCCCAGCTGAGTATCTGGACAGCGTAGGCAATTTATAAATGGCAGGTCTCATTTTTATTGTTATTGCTTTACTTCCTGGACCTGGATTTCAGAGGTTGCTCCTGGAATGAGTCTCCCTGGCCTCCACTGAGATGAGGGGAATTAGTGCCTCGGATTTGTACGGCTCTGGATATTCAAAGCCCTTTTGTGCTGACTCTCTGATAACATTCACGGTGTGCCCTCTGCCCCCCTCAACCCCCACCCCCAGTTCATCATCACTGCCACTTCCTTATCCTTGTTCTGCGTTTTCTCCCTGAGCTGTCTTCCTGATCAGAAGGCAGGGCCTCGGATGTCATTGATCCAGGCTCAGTCTCCCTCCCTAGGCCTGGGGCAGTGCTGGGCAGCACTCTGTAGACAAAGTCGGGAAGCTGAAGGCTTATCAACTTGGAGACCCCCATCCCCCTTTTCTGGGAGGCAAGGTCTCAGTGGGAGAGCCCTGGAGTCAGACAGGCTGGATTCCTGTCTGTCATTTTCTACCCATGAAACCTCAGTCAACTTATTTGGCCTTTCTGAGCCTCAGTTCTACCAAGGGTGTGCAAAGAGGGGCTAAGAAGACCTACTCTAATGAGAATTAGATGAGATAATAGAGCATCAAATTGCTCAGGAATCTGATAAGTTGCTTAATCGTTTATTATTTTGGGAACACCTACTGTGTGCAGGGGCTGTGTCACCAGCTCCCAGTGCATACTAATGCACCTGAGCTGCTGCTGCCCACAGGGCTCCCCAGCAGAAAGAGTCTAGCATCCTCTTCCTCTGTACTGTGAGGATTGGGTGCCCTTCCCCAGGGCACTAGAAGGGACTTTGGGCGAAGTCTCAGCTCTGCCCAGGTGGGAGAGCAGAACAGGGTCAGGAGACACAGAAAGAATAGGTTCTTTGGTTTATCAGGAGGGGCTTCTCTCGATAGAGAAGCAGTGGGAGGCCAAGGATGGTGGGAGAGCCTTGCATCTCCTGTTCTGGAGGTAAACAAAGCTTCTAGAGAGCTTTGGACACAGCCCAAAGCCTGCTCCACCTTCCCTGCAGGCCAGTGAGGCAGGGAAGATGAGCATAGTTTGGCCCTGGGTGCGCCTGTACCTGGTGGGGCCTTCCCCTGCGCTTTTCTGGGAGCCTGGCTAGGGGCACCAGCTATGTCTGCCGGGAAATATTCTGGTGGCAGGCGTGGCCAGGAGTGCTGCGGAAAGGCCCTCAGGCTTTTAGGAAGTCCCTGGATTAAAAACTGGTGTGTTCCGGCAAGTGTTTTGCATTTTTAATTTTTCTCTTTGATAGGAAAACCTATCAAAACCGTGCAGTTAAATTTTTCTCTGGCAGTAGTTTCCTACTCAAAATGCACTCTGTAACTCTAGGAGGGGGCGCTGCACTGGCGTGGAATTGGGGTTTGGCCTGAGATCTTTGGGAGTGTGTGAGGCAAGAACATGGAAGGAGTGTGCAGTTCCGATAGAGTCCCAAGCGTCAGGCAGTTATCCAAGTGACATTAATAAAGATACAAAAATGATAATAATAATATCATGTATTGTGTGCTTGCTATGTACGAGCACTGTGCTCATCTTTTTAGGTGCATTATCCCTTTTAATTCACACAACCACAAGGGAAATGTAGGGAAATGTGATCGTGCCCATTTTAGAGGTGGGAAAACTGAGGAGCCAAGAGGTGAAATGGTCCCCAAATAATAGAGTTGGCACATCCTTTGGGTCTGACCCCTGAGCCTGCACCTTAACCACTGAGCTTTAACTACTTTAAAGTATGGCTCAGCCGTTTGGCGAGGAGGGCCTATTTTGAGGTTCAAAGAAATAAAGTGACTTGCCCAAGTCATCCAGGGAATGCTTGGTAAGTCTGGGACGCCGATGCCTTTGGTGCCACAGGGGGAGCTGCAGCCGGGAAGGCAGGTCAACCTGCACTGGACTTGCAGCAGGAACTAGATGAGTCCTTCTGTCAATTCTTTGCTTTAAGGCTTTCCATGGCTCCTGTGTGCCTGGGGCAGAGAATAACCATTTGGCTTGGCCTTCTAGATCTCTACAACCAATGTCTTCTCTGCACTCATTCCTGTCATCAGCACTTCACGCCCACACTCCATCCTCACACAAAGGGTGATTCTGTCTTTGGGGTCTCCATGGTAGGCTTAGGAGGCACATCACCCATGGTAGTGACCTGCTTTCTTGCCTACTTCCTACACATATGCACACACACCACAGAGAGGTCAGCGGAGAACTCAGCTCCTCTAGGGCAGAGACCAGCTGAGTCATAGCGATCCTTTCACCCCGGCTCCCATCCCAGAGCCTGGCACAGGACATACACTGCATACACAGTTAGAGAACAGATAAGCAGATGAGTGACTCAGTGAGTGAGTGTGTGGTGAGTGGAGGAATGAATGAATGAGTCCAGGAATGAATGAATGAGTATGAAGTAGCTCTCCTCTTCGAACACCATTTCCAATATGAAACCTGGCCAGGGCCTTTCTCCCTTTGCAGGTTCAGACTCTGGGAGGGTGAGTGGGTGCTGAATTCTTTTTTTTTTTAAATTAATTAATTGATTATTATTTTTTTTTATTAGTTTCAGGTGTACAAAGCAATGTACTAGTTACACATCATTTACACCCCTCCTTACAGTGATACCGGAGGCCTTTGTTTCCTCTTCAAAAGATAACAACGAAAAATTTGCATCTTGATTTACAGTTCACAAATCATACTAGCAGGCACCACCTCATTTCCCTTCATAAAGGAGAAAAAAGGGGAAGAAAGGTGTGTAAGCACCAGGCACCAAGTGGGTGCTGGGCAAACGTGAGGTTCCTTTTCTTTCCAGTTTAGGACACCCACATGAGGTGGGAGTGACAGCCCTGAGTTCTAGAAGCAGCCAGGGTCTGGAGCCCGTTGGCTGTTAGGGACCCTGCCCCACCTCACCTTCCTAGAGTGGCTGAGAACTTGGGGGTAGTTGAAGAGAAGGGAGAAGATGACCAGAACTCAACTTGAGTGTCTACCAGGTGCCAGCCTCTGGGTCAGGTGTTTCAGGTACAATAGCTCGTGAATCCTCAAAACTATGAAGAAAGGATTATGATCTTTTGATAGCACTCACTCGCACCCTCATGAAGAATTAAAGTAGCTTGCCCAAGATCACTCTACTTGAACATGTAAAAGCAGGGATTAAGTTCAGATCTGTCTGACTCCAGACTGCCGGCTCTTTCTTCTACAGTACATGACTCCCTGGAGCTCCCTCTGGCTGGGATGGATTAATTCATTAGTTTGACCGATTATTTTGTGATTCTTCTGTTTGGGGACACAAAGATCAAGGAGACACATTAGTGACTCATACTATTTGTGTGCTTGGAGGGGAAAAGTAAATCATAGATAGGTATATAAATTATCCCTATGAAGCGCCTTTAGCCCAAAGAGATCTGAAAGCACTAGGTGGGGAAAGGAAGCAACTTTGTTTGGGGTGTTGGGGAAGTCTTCCTGGAGGAGGTGACTGATTTAGGTCCTTTCAAGACACTTCGTGGGCCGGCCGAGTGGCGCGTTGGTTAAGAGCTGTCTTGGGACGCCAGAGGGCCCCAGTTTGGATTCTACATATGAGGGCCAGTGACACTGCCCTCCACAGCTAAGATGCTGAACAACAGCTCAACCTGGAGCTGGGTTGCCGTGAGTCGCCGGCGA